GCAAATGTACAAAAAGTGAAATCTCTGTGATGGAAAAAAAAGCAATTATTATTCTGGCAGTATGATATTCCTTGCGGATGTGTAAATATCAGGTTACGTCGCCATCGGCGAGAAACGCGCTTGCGAGTTTTGCTTCACCATCTCCGCGATAAAATCCAATAAATCGTGCGCGATTATTAAAGCCAGCGTGCGTGAGCTTTATTGCGACTGGAAAATGCCACGAACAATATTCAGCAATTTCAAAGGAAAACAATATATTATGCAGATATGAATTCTGCTGTTTTATTAAATAAAAGAAAGACACGGCCAAAAAATGTTTTAGTATCAGAATAATTAAAAACAAGACACCAACTGTACATCCTATGAAAGTTAAAGGAAAATTGAATTATATCTTGGTCGATAAATTTTTTACGAACTTTTTATTATCCTTCAATCAGATTAGTATTATTCTGAAGAAAGAAAATATATTTATTCATCTTTCTCACAATAGAAAAGGTAAATGATTTCGAAATAATTCCAGATATGTCTTTTATAATATTATTTACATATTTTACATACATATTTTACATTATATTTAAATATTGAATACACACTTATTTCGATGTGTTTTTTTTTTTTTTTCGGATGAAAGATCACGGTGAGAGATCAATCGTTGCTACGAAAATTGATAAGGCAAGTTATATTCGCTATTTACCGCTCAATACCTGAATACCGCGAAAGTTGCCGCGGGAAATTGCAGGCGAGAGCCTGGGAACACGATAATCGGCGTTTAACGTTTCGGCTTAGCTAGGCAGGCAGTTATGTCGCTTGCTAGGGTGGCGGTGGTTGCGCGAGCGTGCACTTCCGGTGCTTCCGGCCAGGAAACTCTCAGTCGTTAGCGGTTGTTATGGTTAAATATGTTGACGCCGGCGGCGTCGGTGCGGCGGTGTGCCGCTCGCTAGATAAATTTGCCGTTTTAACGCTCAGCCCTGCGCCTGCATCAACGTGCAACGATCTCACCTAGTAATCCCGCTCCGATTCTGCACCATGAAACATCGAACGGCACGTGAACGCGCGATATCGTCGGATTTGCGAGTCGCGGACGGTGCAAAGTAAAAGAATTCCGAAAGTTGGACCAGAATAAACGAATGGGAAAAATAAGCTGAACATGATGTCGGATGCATTTGAATTTCTGATTTATTAGTGGTAGATATCGCTCGGATCCTTTATCGCTTTGCATCCAGATGCGCGCGCGCGCGCATTTTTTCGACTATATATATATTTGAATTTTTTTCACGGACCTCAATTCGATAAACGAATATATGTAAAATGAATGTCGGCGAAATCTCGCTTATCTGAAAAGATGATACGCAGCTGCGGCGAAGAAATTTATTTATGTTCCAATGAAATTCAATGAACACACAAACACACAAGTCATATGAATTTTTATACATATATATATATATATATATATATATATATATATGTGTAG